CACTACTACTACTTACTACTACTAACTAACTTTTTTTTAATACTGCTTTGAACTTTTTCTCTAACTCTTACTTTTTTTTTTTTTAAAGTTAAGTTTTAGTAAGCATTACGAAAGTACCGAACAACTTTTTTTTTTTGAACTACGAGCTAAACAACAATCAAAATTACTATAGTCGTGTTGTTGTTGTTGCCTTTCGATAAACCACAAAAAATAAATACGATGCGAACTTTTTTTTTTTTTATATACATAGATCAGCGCGAACTATCGAAATGTGTACAAAGTTTTTTTTTTTACTAATAAGAAACCAACAAACACAACAACAAGAACAAACAACAACACACACACGCACTCACACATACAAAGCAAAAGAAAAGAATTGCTTAACGATAACGATAAACGATAACCGACATCAACGCTCGATATCAGGGCAATGGGGCAATAATAGGTGTGCTCAAACATAACGAAGAGCAAAATCAAAACCAACAAACGAAATCTAACCAAAATCCAAAAATATATCTAGCTTAGAATGAGCGTGAAGCGAATTCGCACCAACAATCGATATAATTACCACAATGTTTGTGTAATTTTTGTGTCCTTCTAGGAACTTATTTCAATTGCATTATGTTTATGGTGGCCAAAAAAAAAAAATCAACCATACTTATCCTCAATTATCATCATAGAAATCCAGAAAAAAAAAAAATGAGTGAATGGGTAATATTTATATTTAAACTAAACTAAACAAAAAAAAAAAACTTGCTAACTACTTACTACTTACTTACTTATTTATAAAAAAAAAAAAAAAAAAAATGAAAAGAATACAAACCAAAAAACAAAAACGAAAAACAAGCTATTTCTCCTACCTACCTACTTCTTTTTTGCTTTTATGTTCTCTTCTTCTCTACATTTACATAAATTCATTTCTTATTCTTTACTTAACTCTGCGAATTCCGAAACGTTTTCAATTTGCCTTTGTTTCAATATGAATATCATTTCAACGAAACAATCAAAACATCCAAAATATACTCTACAGCTCACACATACACACCCAAACACCCAAACACACACACAGTCCAAACACCACCCCATTGTATATACTTATTATGCCCACATACACGCCTAATGTCCTACCAAACATCACTCTCTCAACTCTTAGACATTGAAAACTGAAAACTGAAAACTGAGCAGAGCAAAATACACTTGCATACATATTTACTCACCATTCATATGCATAAACTACTAGCTCTTCTTATACTTTTACACTATGCTGCATGCAAAATATATTTGCAACTCATGCAAAAACCAAAAGCAAACATATTTTTTCAATAAACTTATCGATTTACATATACGAAATGGAATTTTTTAAAATACTGAATAATATTATTATAATAACTATGAGCTTGAATTTCTCATTAAATAATAATAATAAAATAATTACATATGTCCCTAAATATATAATATACAAAATTTTACCGATTTCTGTGTCAGAATCAATTTAAATTTCAAACAAAATTTTAACATAAACATTTTTTTTT